TCACACCTGCCCGGGCGGTGGCGGCAGCTTTGCTTCTGACTCCCCGCCCTGGAGGCCGACTAGGGAACAAATGGTGAGACCCCCGGGGGAGGGGACCTGAAGGGCCTCGACCACGACCCCCAACCTTCCGGGGGAGGGGCTCCTGCTTGCTGCTCCGCTCTTTGTTGTTTGGGGCTCTGCGCCTCCCCCTCTTCCTCCTCGCGCCCAGAGTGTCAGACTGGGGGTGGGGATGAGCTAATGACGCCCCCCTTTTGCTTCCCATGGAAACCTCGGGGGTGGGGTTGCAGCCCCTCCCCCCCGGAGCGGGACTCCAACCTCCCCGGGGGGCGCTGAGTGCTCGCTGACTACCCTGCTATATCTAGCTCATTCCCCCCCCCACTCTGAGATTCACACGTCCGACCCCCGCCCCGCTACAGTCTGGCACGGGGCGGCGGTGAGTGAGCTCGCAGGTGAGAGACCCCGGGTTCCCCGCCACCCTTGGGGAACCCCCTGGTCGTGGATGCCAGAGCCGAGTGGGTGTGGGAATAGCCTGGAGGGGAGCGTTGCTCGGGCTCCCCTCCCCCGCATACACCTGGGCGCAGGTGAAAGCTCGGGAACGGGATGGGATGGGAGAGCCGGCTTCCCAGAGCCTCCCGTCGCCCTCTCCGCTCCCGGGCCACCGGCGGGGACCGACGGAGCTAGGAGGCGGCGCAGCCTGGGCCGGGAGGCCGCTGCCGCCCCCGCCCCGCTTCCCCGGGCCTTTGTTGCCGCTGCGCCCGGGCTCCCCGGCTCTCTCACTGCGGCATCCGCGGCCCCATAAATCGTGAGAGCGACGTGCTCCAGAGCCGGGAGTGGAGAGGGCCGGGGAGCTGGGGGCGGGGCCGGGCCGAGCCACAGGCTCCCAGGCCGGGCCCCCCCCCCGTTCCTGCCGTCACGTGACCCCGACTCCTGGCTCCCACCTCCCGTCACGTGCAGAGAGGGTCTCTGCCCCCTCGGGGTCACGTGGGGGAGGGTCCGCGACCCCGCCCCTCGGGGTCACGTGGGAGGGTGCTGGTGGGACACGTGCAGTCACCTCTTTTGACAGACCTGCAGCAGCCTCGGTGGACAGACCTGGGGCGGGTGGCCGGGGCCCCGGCTACCTAGCCTCCCCCCCACCCCCCGTCCCCGGACTCGGCCCCTTGAGTTAGTCCCTGGGAACAGGCGAGACCTTTCCCTAACCTGGCCCAGAAACTAGGACGCGGTGGGAGCGACCGTATTGGAGGGGGGGGGATGCGAGTGTGAAGTCGGGGGGTCTCCTGAGCCGGGGACTGGATGGGGCGGAGTTGAGGGCCCAACATGTATATCATCCCCCCCTGGCCAGAGCTTCGTTCTTGGAACTAGACGAAGGTGTTGGTACTCTCCTCGAGAGCATCTTTTTTTTCTCGTGATCTCCCTACCTATCCGGGAAGCGTTGCCGCTGCCGATCGCTTTCATTCACACATTCATTCAACAAATATTTATTGAGACCTCTACTACGTCCGCGGTGGTCTGTTTTCGTCCATGTGTGTGCCGATTTCTCTTCTTTTCCTCGCTGTCTTCTTCTCTGCTGTGGGCCTCTGTGGATCGGATGCGGAGTCTCTGCTGTTTTTCTTTCCCCCAAGTCGCGCTTGGTTCTCCTTCCTTCCCTCCCTCTCCCTGTTTCTGGCTTCCCCTGCCTCGCTGCGGCTCCCTCCCTTTTCCCCCTCTCGGGCGAATCCGGCCGTGTGTTCGCCTCCCCTCTGGATATGGCAGAGTCTGACCATCTCTGTGTGTCTCGCTTTCGGCGGGTCCTCGCTCTTCTCCGCCGCTGCAGATCAATAAACCTTCGCCGCCGCCGCCGC